CCGCGAACCGATAGACATGAGTCACTGTTTTGCATCAAATAGTCCAACACTTGCCGACTCTTCGGCCCCTTATTCACCAAATCGCCCACAAATAGCTTCAGAACGCGATTGTTGTCCGCATTCTTCCGCTTCTCAATCGTATTGACGGCACTGTTATTATTATTCTTGTTGTGGATTAGATCCAAGAGTTGTATCAACTCGTCATCACATCCGTGAACGTCGCCAATCACCACAACCTCTTGGAAGCGGTCGACAAACTCTTTGGCGAGTGTCTGGTGTCGTATCGGCAGCGCCGGCGGTGGCTGTGAGTGACAACTCGTGGCCAACCATTGCTTCTTCGGCTGATATCTATTGCGAGACATATCTATTGATCAGATGTTATGACTTAATGGCGAGAGAAATGCGTTGATGTCTTGATTGCAGTCCCAAATCATTCCTCCACTTCTCCCCTAAAGCCATGGGTTGTTGTGATAACTGTAGTGACAGTGACTGTAGTGGTTGTGCCGCCGCCGGGACTCGTGTTGACCACCGCTGCGGTCGACGACTGAGTGGCCATCGGATCAGTTGTTGTGATAGTTCTGGTGTTGTCTTCGGCGCTGAAACTGGAGTTGTATTTAAGGATTGAATGAATGACTGGTTTTGTGACTGAAATGAAAGCACAGATTGTTTTGAGTTGTGTTTAGTGTTTGAAAACAATAACAACTGTTTTGGCGAACAGTGAATGCGTTTCTATTGTAACCAATGGTAACGCGTATACACTGTGTGTGTGTTTTGGCGCACACTTTGAATGTGTGTTCACTTCTGATTGCCATTAGTTTTATGTAGTGAAAAGCCATTTATTCCATATTGCGGGCATTTGGCCATATTGCGGGCACAATGCCCGTCATTTTTGGCCATATAAAATGCGTGGCCAAAGTGGGCATATGGCCCGGTTTTTTGGCGTTTATGCGAAAACTACAAAGGTTATAGATGTGAAACGTACTTCACTTTATACTATTGAACTGTACGAGTGTTTTAAGCCATCATTGATTGTTGTGAGTGTTGTCGTTGGCCGTCAGGAATTTTTTAAATAGTTATCCCTATGTGGCCACACAATGCTAAAGCATACCAATATGGCGGCTTTATGTTGAAAGTGTTGTCTCTATAAC